GTAAAAATGAATTCATTTCTACGTAGAGTTTTTCTTTTTTGTATTACATCTTCAAAACTAGAATATATGAAATGGAAATTTATGTTTATAGGGAACTCAACCCTATGTATGAAGGATATCTACAGCATGATGCACAGGAAGTATTACAGTGTATTTTGGGAAACATTCAAGAAACATGCCAACTCCTAAAAAAAGAAGAAGTAAAACATGTGGCAGAATTATCTAACAAAGTAGAAGAAAAACCTCATCAGAAAGAGGAAATTAGTGGTATTAACAGTATGGAGATGGACAATGTGAGGCAGTCTGAAGACTATAAAGAAAAACTCCCAAAAGGAAATGGGAAAAGAAAAAGTGACACTGAATTTGGTAATATGAAGAAAAAAGTTAAGGTATCCAAGGAACACCAGTCATTTGAAGAGAACCAGAGACAAACCAGATCAAAAAGAAAAGCTACAAGTGATACTTTAGAGATTCCTCCTAAAATAATTCCCAAGTACATTTCTGAAAATGAGAGTGCAAGACCCTCACAAAAGAAATCAAGAGTTAAAATAAATTGGTTCAAGTCTGCAACTAAGCAACCCAGCATTCTTTCTAAATTCTGTAGTTTGGGGAAAATAACAAACCAAGGACCCAAAGGACAATCTAAAGAAAGTGAATATGCTCTTGAAGAGGACTCTGGGAAGTGTGAAAATGATAACACAACTAATGGCTGTGGACTTGAATCTCCAGGGAATAATGTTAAGCCAATTAATGGTAATGAAGTTAAGGCCATTAATGGAAATGAAGTTAAGCCCATAAACAAAGGTCAGTATAATTTATTCTTAGACATTGATAGGTAGGTGGATTAACAGTTACAGAATTGGAATTTTCTTAGGTACATGTACCATATAAATCTGACTAAAGTTTTGTTTAAAGAGAAATATACCTGAATGTGAACTGGTGTTTTAAGCACTGTACTTAGATAAATTTGTGTGTGTGTAAATCTCAATCTTAAGGTAGTGTTAATTTATGGTTTATAAACTAGGGGAGTTCAATACATTTTAATGAAAAGAGAATATTTTACCCCCTTTATATAAGCAGCATTTGACAAACTCATGAAAGGTATTGGCATTTCATGAAATGCCATTTTAAAACAGAACTAAGTAATTACACCACATTTGCGCTGATTTCTATCTAAATAATTTCTTCCAGATCTACAAATCTTGCAAAATGTGTAGTACTGATGTGCTTTTACCAAAAGTGTCATCCTTATTTTGGGGTTATTATGTAAGGGGGTATTGTCTTTGGGAATGGAGCTATGAAGACAGTTGTGACTCTTCTTTTTTGAAGACAATGGTAATTCATATTCAAAACTATCTTTACAGGGAATTTATGTTTCATGTATAAGGCACCTCTTAATGCTTATAAACCAGATGAGATGAAAATCAGCCTTTTATTCATGATACACTTTTAAGTGGAATATGGCTATTTGGGCTATGCTGAAAAACTAATCTGTACAGACTTAAAACTTTGCTATTTTTGTTTTAGGCACAGAGCAAATTGGTTTTGAGCTAGTAGAGAAATTATTTCAAGGTCAGCTGGTACTAAGGACTCGTTGCTTAGAATGTGAAAGTTTAACGGAAAGAAGAGAAGATTTTCAAGACATCAGTGTGCCAGTACAAGAAGATGAGCTTTCCAAAGTAGAGGAGAGTTCTGAAAGTAAGCAAAATTGGAGTCTTGTAAGGACCATGGAATGGTTTTCTTCAACAGTCTAATACTAGCTTGTATAATTATTGAGAAAAAGCTTACTTTTAGTGTCTTTGGTACGATAAAAGCTGTTTATATATTGGATTGTTGGAAAAGTCATGACGTATTTTTTCTGTTTTTCATTGCAAAAATGCGTCATGACTTTTCTAACAACCCAATAGCTTCACTTGTTAAAAGCTAGCATTTGGAAAATTGTGGCATCTTTGTTTTAATGGGTAGAGTGTAATAAGAAAATGAAATGCTTTAATAACTTTGGAGTACCAGAATTTCTCAGAGCTACTGAGGATGTTTTTTTAACACAATATTTGAGCCACTGTTTTGTCTAGTATAAACCACAAAAAGTATGGAAATGTAAATGGTAATTAATTATGAAACTGGTTTACCTGTTCAGATATTGGTAAATGGCTATTACATAGAATCTAAAGTCTTTCTTAATACCAAGTCAGAGACTAGGTTTGTTTTTCCTGTCCCTATCACCTAAATACTTTTTGGCTGACTAAATATAAATATTGATATTTAAAAACTATGCACACTGTTGAGGATGAACTAAAAGAGTTTTTGAAACAAAAAAAATGTATTTATTGGCAATTAATCGACATTGCATGCTAATTTTGAACATGGAACTTTCTGGAACTTAATTTTTAAATGTCTGAGACATTTTTCATTTGTGAGTGAAAGGATTCTCTTATATAGTTTCTCCAGAGCCAAAAACAGAAATGAAGACCCTGAGATGGGCAATTTCACAATTTGCATCAGTGGAGAGAATTGTAGGAGAAGATAAATATTTCTGTGAAAATTGCCATCATTATACTGAAGCTGAACGAAGTCTTTTGTTTGACAAAATGCCTGAAGTTATAACCATTCATTTGAAGTGCTTTGCTGCTAGTGGCTTGGAGTGAGTATTATAAATAAATACTATATGAAGAAAATGAGTGGCTATATAAGGGAAGTTTTGTTCAAAATAGTATAATATAAACTACTGAAATGAAGTAATTTATAAAGATTGCCTTGTTACTAAAAGTTTCCCTGTAAAAATAACAAGTTTAAATCCTTTCAGTATGAATATGTATTCTGTGATTTCTTCACACATCTTTTCATTCCTTATTAGATATAGCTGAATTGATTAAAACAGGGAACACAGTTTGTACATATCAAGATGTTTTTAAGGGGAGAAAAAGACAAAATTATTTTAGTTTTAAGGTAAGCCAGGAAATCAAACTAATCTGAGTAATTTGAGAGATTCTCCTATAGTTCAACATTTAAATATCGAAAAGCTGTCTTGACTTTTTCTGACACATATACGTGTCATTGTAATTTTAGTCCTTTCTATATTAATGAATTGTTTGAAACTACCATGAGGGCTTCTCAGTAGCTCTCCGCACACTGTATTGTGCCAGAAGAATGACATATGGTCCTTGCTTTCAGTGGACTTTTTCTTGGTTACAATACTATTTTATTTTTGTCCCTAAATCTTGGTAGAGATAGACTTCACCTTAAAATGACTTATTAAAATGTAAAGCATTTTGGTTTGAGGCCCAGTGTTTTTTTAAATCCCAATTCTTTTCTTACAGCACAAAATCAGGAAAAAGAAAACGGGAGAGGGAATGCCATATAGACTTTAAGAAAGCACCTGAATATAAACACTTATTTCAATATTTTTCTTTGTGTAAATATAAGTATACAAAATTTTGGTCTTGCTTTTATTTTGTGTTTAGTCATATAAGCACTAAATATTAAGGGTTCATTCAAACTTTTTCTTGGTTTCACATTGGGTATAAAACTGAGTATATATAGTATATGTGTGTGTGTGTGTATATATATATATATATATATATATATATATATATATAAAGTGGAATTGCAGAAAACCTTTTTTTTTTCTTCCAAAGGTTTGATTGTTATGGTGGTGGACTTTCCAAGATCAACACTCCTTTACTGACACCTCTTAAATTGTCATTAGAAGAGTGGAGTACAAAGCCAACCAACGACAGCTATGGATTATTTGCAGTTGTGATGCACAGTGGCATTACAATTAGTAGTGGGCACTACACTGCCTCTGTTAAAGTCACTGACCTTAACAGTTTAGAACTAGATAAGGAAAATTTTGTGGTTGACCAAATGTGTGACATGGGTAAGCCAGAACCATTGAATGAGGAGGAAGCAAGGGGTGTGGCTGAAAATTATGATGATGAAGAAGTGTCAATTAGAGTCAATGGAAACACACAGCCAAGTAAAGTTTTGAACAAAAAAACTGTAGAAGCTATTGGACTTCTTGGAGGACAAAAGAGCAAAGCAGATTATGAGCTATACAACAAAGCGTCTAACCCTGATAAAGTTACCAGTACACCATTTGCTGAAAATAGAAATTCTGAGGCTAACAATACTAACGGGACCCATGAATTTGATAAAAACAAGGAATCCAGTGAGCAAACAGGCATTAACATTAATGGATTTGAGAACAAAATTTCATATGTAGTGCAAAGCTTAAAGGAGTATGAGGGGAAGTGGTTGCTTTTTGATGATTCTGAAGTAAAAGTTACTGAAGAGAAAGACTTTTTGAATTCTCTTTCCCCGTCTACATCTCCTACATCTACTCCTTATTTGTTATTTTATAAGAAACTATGAAGTGAGTGTATTTTCCTTGTGTATATATTAAACAGACCCAGGCAAACATTGGTAAAGTTGAGTACATCAAAGACTCTCTAGCTTAGCTTTTGAAGCTATTGGATATTATTGGTCTCTCTAGGTTTTTATATAGTGAAATTTGAATGATTGAAAACCATGTTAATTTTTAGAATTCATTTTCCTTAGTAGAGACTAGTTATGCATTAACTTCTGGGAACAAACTTGTATAGGTTCTTAATTGAATTATCCAACATGGAAGCATTTAAACACTTTTGAATTTACACCTATCTTTTGTGTTTGCTTTTTAAAATAAAGTGCTTGTATTTGTATCTCCATATTTTGGGATAATTATCTACATGATGTTTATAAGTCCTGTGGTTTTTCAGCTAAGAAGCAGAATCTCATTTCAGTACATTTAATTTTTTAAGTCATGAAGCCAAATCTCTGATGGGCTGTATGACAGGCACAAAGTCTGGACTATGTATCTATTTACAGTGGTGTACGTTTTGTGCCTTGAATCACTTTGAAAGTGTCTCAGAAAATCTGGACAGTCCTTCACAACATTTTTATATGTATTTATGAAGATGATTCTGTACTCTAGTAAATGTTTTTGGGCATGGACTAATTTGTATCTCTTCATAGTCATATTCTGCACGATCTGTATATAGTATATCAAACTTAGAGGTGTGACCTTAAGTTTTACTTTTTTTAAAAACCAGGTCAATAAAATTTAAAAGGATTAAAAACTATACAAATGCTCAGTTTTTCTTAACTTGTATATCTTTACCATAAATATAGCTGAATTCTCTTAAAGAACAGAATATGTGTGTATAATATATTTACACATTGTACACACATTCATAGGAGAAATGAACAGGCATACTTACCTTTAATAATACTCAATACTTTCTCACAGTTGGAGTAAAGAAATTTTCAAACAGTAGAGTTCAAATTGTGCTTAGTCCATCTAAGTTGTCATACTTAAAAGAAGTTTCCAGTAAGAATTGCTGCATTCTAGTTGTTCTTTCAAGTAGACATACATTAATGGAGAACTTAAAATGATGCTTTGGGCACACATATAAAACTTTGTTGAATTTTTACTTAAATACACTATATTAAATTGGGAAATGATAAGTTATCATGACTTGTTAAAGGACATCCTTGGTACTAATACTAAAAATAACTATAAAGAATATATAAATGTTATTGGAATAACACACCCATTTCAACAAGAGTGTCAACTAATAAATTAGTTACATAGTTAAATAATGTCTTACATTCTTCCATAAGATGATGTGATATAAAAAATCATGGTTCTCACCTACATTCAAAATCTCTAATGGAACTTTTAAAAAGAAACAGCCCTGAACATTAACCCATAAGCTTCTGATGGAGTAGTTCTAGGATAGAACCTGGGCTTCTGTAATACTCAGGAGACAGTCAAGGTTAAGAACTACTAGTATAGATTCCTGATATGAGAAAGTTTAAAGGAAACTGGAGTATGTGGGAAGTTAGCAAGTGTTCAGTATACCAGTTTTTAACAGTAAGAGGAAGCCTCTTCTGAGTCGTCATAAAATAGTAATACATGATAATTCATAGTTAATATAAATGTTAAAGTTATTGATGTTACTGCGATTTATGTGAAACAATTGAAACTCTTACATAAATGTAACCTAAAGAGATGACCTCGGGATTATTTAATATTCTCTGCCTTATGTTTACTCCCATCCCCACCCTAAAGAAGAGAGTATATGTTACCTTTATTGTTTTAATGAATTTCCATTCTTAACTCCTTCTTTCCTTATTGTTCATCTGGATCCTCTGTCACCAAATATATTTTTGAGGTTATACTCCTGAGTCAACCCCTTGTGGTCCAACATTATACACACATCTGAAAAAGCTTTTTGTAATTCAGCCTTCCAATCGATGTAGATAAGAGGAATTTGAGATGATACTGCCCGTTATAAAGGTAGGCCAGAGGGGGTAGATATCACTCATCACCTATGCACTCAGGAGAATCAGATGTTTTTGAGATCTTGTTTTCAACATCAACTACAGAATAAAGGCACTGTATTCAATTTGATCAGTTCTATGTGATTCATGTAACTGGTCAGTAGATCAAAGGGGCAGATTATAAATGATGACTTTGTATAAGCTATAATACCACACAAAGGAAAAACATTGTTCAAAACAATCCAGAAATCATTAATGCACTTTCTTGGAAAAACTTGCCAAATAGTTGTCAAAAAATGTTTGCATTAGTTTCTTATAAAGTTATAATTTTATATTCTTAATTAAAACAGCTAATTTTACTGATTACATGTACTTTGTAAAATCTATACAAGTTTAAAAAATATAACTTCTCATTCAACTGGCAGATTAAAGTCAAAGAGCAGCTCTTAGTGTTATTTTCATGATGATGTAATATAGCCTTAAAGCAGATTTCTAATTTAACAATTTAGAACACTAAGCTGGCTTGTTTAATTTGAAATACAGGAATCATTCATTTTAGTTGCTGAGTCATTAAGTTCTTATCAATATCATTAATGTAATAAGGTTGAGAGTCAAAGATCAAGATACTGTCACTGGTATTAGTGATCCCTATAATTTATAGACAAATATTTTATTAGGTAAAGTTATTTCTGCAATTTATTCTAAATCCCTTTTTGGGGTGTCTAAAAGGAAAATAGCTTAGAAACCAGTTTTAAGGCTTCATGAACCAGCTGTCAATATCTACATCCATTAATTTATTCATTTATTTGAGACTCTTTGGGGCCGTAAAGTGACTGTCAATTTTTCTTTCCATTTTTGGTAGTTTTGGAACTAGTTCTTGATCACATTTAACTTACTATCTGCCTTTGTCAAAAAAAGAAATTTTTTAAAGTCCCACTCAGTAAAATTAGTGTAAACGTTCACATATTTAATGGTACCTTTAAAATAAGCATTACTACATTTAAAATGGTTCCAAAATGAATCTATAAATGGTAATATAAATTAAAAAGTACAAACTTAAAGTAAATAAATTTAACATTAGCTATGGTGTAAATAATGGTAAATGTATAGTGTACCTTTGAATCATTAAAATGTCTTAAAAAAAGATAACAGCATATTACCAGAACATTAGAAGCCATAGCCATGATTCTCAAGCTTCGAACAATCGACAGTTTTGGCCACTGCATTCTTCAATGAGTAAATTAATGCTATAATTTCCAGAATTAAGTTCCAAGTCTTATTTTTCAATAGATCATAACTTGTCACACTCAATGTTGAATACATAGCTCTTTTCAAAAGAATAAAACAACTATGTTTATTTTAGAGATCCATTTTGCGCAGGCTCATTCGACTGAAGGAATCTCTGGGAAGAAAAAGGATATAATTATAAGTAAACAATAGTTACATAATTCCTTTAAAACATGTTTTACATTTTTTTCTGCCAGAGTTTTCTCAAAAGTGTGCTACCGAAAACTTACTAACTTTAAAGCTTTTTGCCATCAGAGTTCTTAATTAACTTTTAAGTTACTCTGCCTTATATTTCAGGCTTTTCTATAGATTAAAAGTATATTACAGTAACCACTTTGCCAAGTCCATTGACCATTCATTCATTTGTTTGTTAGGTACATTAAATATTATAAAACAAGGAAAATATTTTTTTGTAGTTATTAAAAGGCAAAAGGCAGGAGTTCCTTTAAAATATTCTAAGTCTTAAATCAGTGGTTCTCAAACTTTGGGGTTATAGGTCGTTTTTTATACTTAAAAATTGAGGAACCCAGGAAGCTTTTGTTTATGTGGGTTATATACTGATATTTACCATATTAGAAATTAAAACAATTTTAAATTATTTTATAAAATAACTCATTACATGTTGCTATAAATAACATTGTTTATTAAAAACTTGAAAGAAAGTTTAGAAGAGTGGCACTCTTACATATTTAATGTCTGACTTAATAGAAGGCTTAGATTCTCATATCTGCTTCTGCACTCAATCTTACAATATCACATTGCATATAGTCTCTGGAAAATCACTGTACTCTTGTAAGAGAATGACAGTGAAAAAGGCAAATAATATTTGGTATTAATATAAAATTAGCTTTAACTCAGGAACCTCCTGAAGGTCTCAGGGACCTCTCCCCCATGAGTCCCAGGTCACATTTTCAGAACCACTGTCTTAATATTTTATAAACCTACTGCAAAATAATATTCCAGATTTTATAAATCAAAATAAATTCAAATTCTAAGGAATTTTTATTTTCTAAATTCTGAAGATGTTAAGAGTAAAGAATAATATTCTTCAGTACCTTTTAATGTATTTTCCTTTATCTTTAAGTTATATTTTTTTCGCTTATCCTTCCTGCTATTCAAGTTAAGTTCTGAGGTTTACAGTCTCTAAGAAAGTAGAGGGCAGGTACAAAGAAATCCATGTACAGCTTTGAATCTCAAAGTTTGTTTTTTTTGGTTGCAGGGAAAGTAGCACTATTAAAAGCTAGACACTGTTAAGAGTTTTTCTAAAACCCAAAAAACTGCCTGTGAATATTAACGTACGCTTGGAGGACTGAACATAATCAGATCATAGAGGAAGGCAAAACTCGGGATAATAGTGTAAGGGAAAGTTACCGTCAAGTAGAAAGAATACAGTCTTTCCACTGAAAGGAGTTGGAGAGATTTGAAGGGAGTGAGACTGGCATAGGAAACTGCCTGATTACCTTAGGGACCCAGCACTCTCATTCCAGCACCTTTGACTGCAGAGTTTAAGACTGGTGGAGGTGGGGTTCCAGGCAGCAAGAAGGCAGAAATTCCAAAAAGATTGAAGGGGAAGCCAAAAGTGGAGCAGACCAGTGTTGCTTCCCGTTGGGAACTTTTAAGAGGAAACCATCTAGGGTGTCTCGCATCAGTATAGGATGGAAGCAAAATATTTTGTCAGAGAAAATATCAAAAACAGGCCCTCTGGTCTCTCTGTGTTTCTGTACATTGTGGAATAGATTCAGATAATCTATATGCTCTCTGTAAGAGGACATGACACACAGCAGGCACTTAGTAGACATTTTTTAGATCAAAGTGTGAATCATTTTTTTCAGAGGTCGAAGTACAAAAATATTAGATCACTAAAGAACAAGGACTAATTCCCAGATGATCAAATAGCCAGTTTAACTTTCTTTTGTAGTATATTATACCATGCATCACACTGTTTTCATATAAGCAACTTCAAAGGCCTTCCAAATATTAATCAGGTAAGTACAATTTAATGGATTTACTGTTATTAATTCAGAAAAGGGTGGTAAAATATTGGTGCCACAATAACTCAATAGTTGTGTATACATTTGGATTTCAAAACACACAAAAAAGCAGTTTACTTTTAGCAGTAATCATGCTCTGTCCAGAATTCAGGTACTAAAAAGGAAAATGTTTGGCATTGTCTTTGGAATTTTACATGCTATTCAACTTTCACAACAACCTCTTCACGGTAAGAAATTTTACCAAGGAGAAACCTAAAAATTAGATTAAATTACCTGCTCAGGTAGAACTAGGATCAGTTGTAGAAAATTTCACGTTATTTCATTTCTAATTTTATTTGTCACACTTAGAAAGTGGAGAAAAATACTGAAGCCTTCTTGATACTTAATGGGGTAACCTATTTTAATACAAATCTAGAAGAACATACTATTTACTATCAGGGCCGCTTAGGGAAATAAATGCCTGGCTCCTGATGTATTCTAGTGAATTCTCCCACAAAAATACCAGAAACTGACAGGATTGTAAAAGGAATAGTTTTAGGAGGCCAGACTTATGTGTGGTGTCCTGGTTCGTATGAATACTTAACACAACTTTATGATTCATGAATTATAGAAAGAACTGACTTTTATCTTGTAGGCTGATTCATATATAGATGATAAAAGGAGTATACTAGTTGAACTTGTTAGGTTTCAGGAGACACAGTATATGAAACCATGTAATAAAAGTTACACTAATTCACTATTAAGTAATTCAAGCAGATTTCATTTTTCTGAAGATATCCCAAATAATAGAGAAATAAGCATACCTGTGGCAGGTGACAGGTAATACTGCCTTGTATAACTGAGGGATCTTTCTGTTTATCAGAGGCTGAAGGGCCTCTTTAAGGCGATGATAGTTTCTCTCCAGTTCCCTTTGATACTCTTTTTGATCTGGTCCAATTAAGCTCTTATTTTTTCGTAAGGCATCCTCACACCTAGAAAACACAGTGTATAATCAAAAGATTTCTTCTGGCATAGTTTGAGGGTTTACTAACACACACACACACACACACACACACACACCCTGCCATAGTTTGAGGGTTTACTAACACACACACACACCCTGCCGCCCCATGATGAAGCCATTCAGTTATTTGGTTGAATGTTAAACTCTCTTGTATTAAGATTAAGGAAGGGAACAGATGATCAACTAAGTTCCTTTAAAATCTAACATTCACTTCCAGTTTTCATTTAACTGAAAGTTATATATTTTTTAATGTTAAATCTGAAGTCATTTTTTAAAATGCCACCAGTAAACTATAATAAAGGCACTGTAAAGGCATAAGCATACTCATTTATGAGGCAACGATGGCCACTGGTACAGTGTTCAAATAAATGTTTCTTAAATGAATAGATCTTGATAATCCTTTATCCAATTTATTCAGATTTTTAAGAAAAAATATCTGGACTCTGATAAATAAAAGGACGTTAAAAAACAACGTGTACATATCACTACTTGCAGAATGTTGCTAAAGTGATGCTCAGAGGAGAATGTAGAGCCTTAAAAGCTTATGTTAGAAAAGAAGGCTAAAACTGAAAAGCTAAGCAACTTATAAAGAACAGAATAAACCGGAAGTACTTGTATAAGGGAGGGAAAATATTTAAAAGTATGAAAGCTCTATATCAATAAATGAAAAAGTTTTTTTTTTTTTTAAAACAATAGACTAAGCGCTGGCAAGATTAAGTAAGACAACAAAGCCAAACATCTCCTACTAGAAATTAAAAATGGGACCTAAAGTCAAATACAGCAGAAGTTTATAAAGGTACAGAGGCTATTATATATAATTCAATGCAAATAAATCTGAAAGTATACTTTTCTAGATTAATATTATTTACCAAAACAGACTTAAGAAAAAACATGAATAATCCAATCCTAAAACTGTCAAGTACATCGAATCAGTGAAATCACAAATTTATCCACCAAGAAAACACCAACATGTAAATTCTACCAAACACCATAAGGACAGATAATCCCAGAGTAACACAATTATTCCACAGTATAAAAAAAGAAAATAATTCCAGAATATAGGGGAAAAAAAAGAACTATTGCTGAGCAGAGTTTCTTTCCAACTCTTTTTTTTTAAGTTTGGGATACTAAAACCTAATGGGGACTATAAGAAAAAATTGTAATTCAATCTCATCCATGAAAATACTTGCAGAGCTCCCCAAAAACTTCCTGTTATTTTTATTTAAAAATTTTTTTTATTTTTTAGCTGAGCCATCCTGCCACCTGTTGGCAACTCAGCAGCAGCTCAGCTTGGCCCGGAATCGAACCACTGTTGCTCAGAGCTTACACTCTTGAATGAGCTCTTAACCAAATGAGCCACTCAGCTGGCCCCTTCCTGTTATTTTTAACAGGAAACTATTTTTACCAAATATTACACACATACACACCCCATTTGATAAAATTTTAAAATTTGTCATGATAAAAACTCTTAGCATAACTACACACAGATGGAAACTTCTTTAACCTAATTAAAAATACAGTAAACCCTTGGATTGCGAGTAACGTGGTTTGAGAGTGTTCCGCAAGACAAGCAAACATTTCCATTACATTTTAACTTGGTAAACGAGCGATGTCTTGCAATACAAGTAGTTTGTTTCCAGAACAAATTATGCTCGCAAACCAAGGTATTACTGTATCTACAAAAAACCTGAAGAAAACATTACACTCAATGGTGAAAACATTTCCTTTTGCATCAGGAACAAGAAACTGATGCCTTCTATCACTATCTGCATTTAACACAGTACCGGTGGTCCTAAACATCACTGTAAAAAAGATTATACAGATTAGAATTAAAAAGTGAGTTTGCCAATATTGGTGTACAATATATAAAATTCAAGTGCATTTCTATATGCCAGTAAACAAAATATAATTTTAAGATACCATTAACAAAAACAAAAATATTAAATATCAAGGAATAAAACAAAAGATATACAAGGCCCTTGCAGAAAATATTCAGAAAACATTTAAAAGATCTAGGTAATTGGAAAAATACATGGGCTATTTTGTGAACCACTTTCCTATATTTTTTCTTTTCAATAGTCCCTTTAAGACCCTTATATTATACTGTGGTATTGGACATTCTCAATGTGAAGATCTTTATGTAGGAAACCTTATGTACCTTTTAGTAAAATCTTTGAAGCAGAGTCGCAGTTTATTATGATGTCTGAAGAGTTTTGGGTCACTGGGTATTTCAGATAGGAAAACCTGGGCAACTTCCAAAGGCCCCTGTAAAATAAGAAAATAAAGTAAGAGATGTGTTTTGTCTTTGCTAAAATCATAGAGATAGAATTTACCCAAGTGATTTTTCTTAGCACTGAGACGGCTGTATTTAAGCTTAATGCATATATCTATGCCTATATTAAAACTCTTCAGAAACAGATTCTGGCAATATGTTTTTAGTTTTTCCTAATGTCAAATCTGTATACTTATACTTGCCTACTGCAATTAATTATTAGTTCATTTTTCAAAAACGAAAAGTAGGAGGCCAAGGACTGACTACTGTATTCATGAATACATTTTGCCTTATATTTTTTATATTCTTTAATTCATTCCCAATATAAAAGTTGTCAGGTTACTGGCAATCAATTGTCAATCCACTGATTGTTAGGCTTGATTTCCTGAAACATTTCCTCAGTATTCCAAATGTATTCCTAACAATGTACATTAAAGATGATGATCTTGGGCTGGCTGAGTGGCTCAGCTGGTTAGGTTAAGAGCTCGCTTGAGCTCTGAGCAACAGTGGTTCAAGTTTCGGCCCGAGCTGAGCTGCCGCTGAGCTGCCAACAGGTGGCAGGATGGCTCAGCTTAAAAAAAAAAAAAAAAAGATGATCTTTGTAAATTACATTCTTTGGAAGTAAGACCTCCAAGTCATGTATATTTTTAGGGGTTAAGGTCTTGAAGTGTTTACTTCAGTTTTGGTAAGGCATTTTTTTTGGCTTCGTTCCTTTAACCTAAAAAATAGGGTAAGACAGTGCTTGAAATCTTACTTGGCCTGTCTGGATTTTCCCTTACCTTGGAATATTCCCTAATCATCAGCAAGGAGGTAATGGGGGTGGCTTGTCATCTGCATGTGACAAATCAACAGTAATATCTCGTGTATATATATGGGTATGATAAAAAAAATGGTTAATGTTTAAATAAAACATTTATTTCTGTAAAAGACACACTGCCATTAATCCCCCTCAAAAATACTCCCCCTCGCTTTGAACACACTTATCCCATCGTTCTTGCCACTTTCTGAAGCAGTTCTGGAAGTCCTCTTTCATGTCTTTAGTTGCACTGTCATAGCTGCCTCCATGTCCTGAATCATTTTGACTTTGGGGACGAGCCAGAGGTCACATGGTGCCATATCTGGTGAATAAGGTGGACACACCATAATGTTTTCATTTGACAGAAATTGCTGTACCAGAAGTAATGTGTGACATGGAGCCTTTTTGTTGTGATCACAAAATACTGTGAATGCTGCTGCCGAGTGCCATCCAATGGAAAGGCAGGTATCTTCAATACAGGAAGCGGCATATCAAACCTTAGTAACAGTGTGTGACAAGTTTCAACTCGCTCGGTGCAGTCAGTTGGGTGTGAGCTACAGTTGAGAGAAGGTGTTTTTTAAAGTGTGCCATAAATCATCCTCCATCATGACAATGCTCTGTGTCACACATCGCTTCTGGTATACAGCAATTTCTGTCAAATAAAAACATTATGGGGGCCGGCCGAGCGGCACAATGGTTAGGAGTTGGCTTGGGACGCCAGCTCTGAGCAGCAGGGCCCCAGTTCGGATCCCACATGGGCCAGTGACACTGTGCCCTCTACAGCTAAGATGGTGAACAACAGCTCAACCTGGAGCTGGGCCACTTTGAGTTGCCAGCAATGGCGTAGGCTGCAGTGGAGCTGCAGTGAGCTGCTATGAGCTACCGCGAGTGGCTAGCAGCCAGCGTGAGCTGTCAAGAGCCTCCGTGAGCAGCCGTCCAGTGGCCGGCGACCAATCTACTTCACCCGGGAAGAGCGAAATGATACCAACATGGGCAAGTGAAGTGACGTCCTCCACAACTAGACTGAAGAACAAAAGGACAGCAACTTGTCTGTTCCCCTTCCCCAATTCCCCAACGCTGTTCCCCTC